CCCTAACATTTTTAGTTAACCATTGATTCAACACGTCAACACTGAAGCCCATCGTCAGTAAATCTTTTTTTTATTTTGAAAATTGTTCGGTGCCCGAACATTTTGAATGAAAACTTGTATTTAATGCTTCGGTCTATTGTCAGTTAATCTTTGTTTTATTTTGGAAATTGTTCGGTGCCCGAACATTTTTAGTTAAACATTGATTTAACACTTAAGTCTATCGTCAGTAAATATTTTTTTAATTTGTAAATTGTTCGGTGCCCGAACATTTTGAAAGGAAACTTGTATTTAATGCTTCGGTCTATTGTCAGTTAATCTTTTCTTAATTTGGAAATTGTTCGGTGCCCTAACATTTTTAGTTAAAACATTGATTTAACACTTATTATAAGTCCATTTTCAGTAAAAAAAAAAATTTAATTTGTTAATTGTTCGGTGCCCGAACATTTTGAATGAAAACTTGTATTTAATGCTTCGGTCTATTGTCAGTAAATCATTGTTTTAATTTGGAAATTGTTCGGTGCCCTAACATTTTTAGTTCAAACATTGACTAAACACTTGCGTCCATCTTTAGTAAATCTTTTTTTAATTTGCAAAATGTTCGGTGCCCTAACATTTTGAATGAAATCTTGTATTTAATGCTTCTGTTTATTGTCAGTTAATCTTTGTTTTAATTTGGAAATTGTTCGGTGCCCTAACATTTTTAGTTAAAACTTGATTTGATGATTTAGTCTGGTCAATGAAGTAATTCATTTATTTTTCATTTCACAAAATGTTCGGGCACCGAACATTATGTTGTAGCAGAATAATTGTGGCCAAGAAGTGTTAGATATATAAGAAGTTAATTTAGAAATGTGAATTGTGTTTGTAAATATTTGATCTGTTAATAAAAATGCTTTTGATATTTCAATGATTTTAATAAAGAATTGTCCATTTATATAAATTTGCCTTGATTTTTATGTACCAGTTTAACCACTAAAATGACCAAAAGAGCCATAATAAACAGGAATGATTGGACATTCCTCTTTTATATTGTACACTGTTCACGGTAATTCATCTTTAAAATATTACAATATCAGTGTATCTTAAAGATAACCGTTCATTGTTTAACGAAAATCAATTTTATACTTATTAAAAGATGGTAAAACTGTATTTCTACCGAGTTTTAGTTTTTAAGCGGAACGGAAATTAATGTCAATTATTGAATATGGTAACACCACTTTTGCGTTAAATGAAGTCGACGTTAAAACTAGAATTCAAGAATTATTTACATTCTATCGCCAATTTAGTATTCTTTGAATAATACAGTTTGAAATCTCGACAAGGCATATAATAAATATCAAGCAAGTGCACAAAAACAATAAGGGTCAACTTTTTAAAAAGGCAAAACATCCATTGAAGCGTGAATGCTGTATGGTTCTCTAATTATTTAGCGCAAAGTGTTGACACATTCAAGATCACTGTAACCTTTACCTTATATTATTGGTGTACAAAGACAAAAAGGATCTTAAACTTAAATCTTGTACTAAATGAGGTTAACTACTGCATAAAACACGTTGTGTCCATCAAAAGGATCAACTTTTGCACGAGACAAAAATGTGTTATTGTAAGAGATTTTGCATAAGTTCGCCATAAAAGATCTGAATTTTTCTACCTATGTTCCATCTATTACCTTCAATAACCAAAATGCGTTAGGAATCAGACATAATGTATTCATTAAACATTTAATACATTATTGGAAAAAAAACCTGTCCGGTATATTCTTTTTCTATCTTCATCTGTTCTATATATATGTATTTAAAGTAATATGTAGTTTTCGTTTTGATTTACAGAAATATTTTGCACCAAGGAAAATAACCCGAACACGTTTTAAATACAGTTAGCTGTACAGTTACTTACGAGTCCGATCGTTAAGCTACTATAATTATTGAGATCATTTACTTAACAACAAAATAGCTTGCTTAAAAAGGAGTTCCATAGGATAACAGACTCAAAAACGTACGCTGGGGTTGCATGTTAACATTTAGCAGAATATAATTAAAATAAACTAAGTTAATTCTTACGATCACTCGAAAATAATGTATGTGATCAAGTTCTTAGATTACGTAAAGTTAAGTTTAAACAGCATACAGTTTTCAATATGCTATTAGAATAAAATATCAAGATTTTAGTATTGTTACAGGTTTTGTATTGTTGAACGGATATAAAGTAGAATTTTCAAATATAAAAAGAAGAGACATTTATAAAACATTTATACTGTGACGGCAACTAATAAGTAACAGGAGCATTAAATTCACAGTCAATATTGTTTATAATGGTATATGAATAACTTAGATGTAGGATAAACCTCAAATCTGTCTCAAATTACACACGACATTGCAACTTTATTGATGATAAATAAATTTAAGATAATTTCCTTTTTCAATTATACAAATATTGAAGTGATATAGGTTTGACCATCTGTATTAAGTATACGGATATACTATTAAGTCCTTTACACATCTAACCTATCTATTTATGTCCTTTACGTTCCATTTTGCTCTCCTTAGTAGCTGAAATGACCATATGATAACTAGGACAAATGGGATTAATATATCACGCGTAAAATTAAATGAAATTAAAATTTAAAAAAAATACTAATTTTTATCATATAAAGCGGAAATTATGTTGTTCAGAAAATAGAATAAAGATATTGACTAGCCTAACTTAAACAACAGATCAACTTATGTCGGTTTAAACCCATAAACTTTACATACCACTAATCCACTTTATACCGTACGTTATCTACTTACATAAACAACTGTACTCGTTCGATTATAAACATTTCCATCAGTGCATCAAATAAATGTATTGAAATGGATACATTACCAATTATAAAAGCTGTCGTGCTGGCAACAACTCTAGCTATTGGTTCGATATCGTTATTGTCAGGACAAAAATAAGTGTGCTTATTTCTACTGGACAATGTCCCTGCAGTGAAGCCAAGTTTTGTGAGAGGATAAAGAATACAACAAGGAAGGAAGTATGTGGTGTTTTTTGTGTATTTCTTTCTTAATATACTTTTCGTTACATGAAATATTTAGAATACTCGTTATTAAAATAAGAACCACTATAACCGTTGAGTAGCATCCAGTAAAATTTTAGAGCATGCAGTTCATTTACATGCTTTGAACGTATCTAGATCTTATTGGTCGCCAAACGATCGTTTTACATGCTGATGAACTCGCATCATTCGGGTCGCTGTTAGGCCGACCTAGCAGTTTCGAGACGTCATTGTATTTCTTCCTTGATTGCATCGCGCATCATCTGCGCTCATGGGGACAGTAATTTAGGAAATAGGTATCAGTTTTGAGTGCATTTTTGCAGGCAGAATTAAGCGTTCGTTTTTATTTTGTGCATATATCTTGTAATAATGCACTTGACTCCCAGTTTTTATTATAGGGCAATAGTGCGAAGCGTGTTAGAATCTAATTTACTGCACTATAGTAGCCGCTTTTTTATGCCCCCGAAGGGTTGCATATTAAATCGAACCGTCCGTCTGTCTGTCTGTCTGTCAGTCTGTCCGTCAGTCTGTCCGTCAGACAGTCCGTCCGTCCGTCCGTCCGTCCGGCTTTATACATATAGACAGTGGTGGTCGTGTCCGCTCTGAAACTTCACTATGCATGAAAGTATTTTAATTTTTCTTTCATATATGAAATTATCATAGATATATGGTGTGTCGTGAACAAGACTCAGCTTTCTACGATTTAGGTCAAGGTCACTGTGTTCTACGACTGAGGTCAAGGTCACTGTGGAGGTTCAAACTTTATCAATTTCATTGTTATATACATATAGACAGAGATGATGTGTTGCCATTAAGACCCGTGTTCCTACGCTTTAGTTCAAGGTCACTGCTGAGGTTTAAACTATTCCAAAATTTATGTTATATACATATATATAATGGTTGTTGTGTCTGCTCTGTAACTTCCATATACATGAAGGTTTATTTTTTATTTAAAAATATAAAGTCACCATAGATGGACAATGTGTTGTGAACAAGACCCAGGTGTCTTTGCCTTACTGCTTGGGTTTGAACTTTGTCATTTTTTACCACCACACTCAACATGTAATAGGTGCTTTATAACTAGAATCCTTCGGGGGCATTTGTCACGTTCTGTGACAGCTCTTGTTTTACTTAATTTCGAAATAGCTTTAAAACTAATGATAACAAGTCCGATAAGTAATATTTTACTTAAAGCATAATTCCACGAACATCCAATCACACACTTGTATAGCTTTGATAACATCTCTGAGTCCTTACTAAGACAAACATAAAACAGAATTTTATTCCTGTAAACGTTTACCACGTCAATTTTTTATTGCTTATGACTGTATTCAACTTTTCATTTTCTATTTTAAGATATTCGTATTTTCCCTCAATGCTAAACAAGATAATTGGAAGTTTTACAATGGTGACAAAGTCACGACAGTGGTGATTGTCGGTTACTTCGACATACAACTGGTTTGTTGGGCACATAAGTACGGTACAAGGGCTATCATAATCGGTAAGTTTTTCATTTTGAAACATTATATTTATAGCTTAACCTTTAAGCAAAACATTTAATGTTTTATAGTTTAGATTTTTATTTACTGACATATTTTGACTACACTTACGAGACAATAAACGGATATATTTGTATATTTTTATGAACAAAAATTGATATTTAATTGCTATTAAATTTTGCTGACGAGGTTTGTTACATATATTTATAAATATATTAGCAATTTTAAGTGTCAAGTTTTTTCAATAATCTAATAGTGAATTATCGAAATATTCTGCTGCTTCAAGTAGGAATTTTACCGTTTCCGTTTAGTAAAGATTTTGTGTATTCGTCATTAGCCCATAAGGAAATATTTCAACACACAACAATTGTATTGAAGATTTTTTTTATTTCTTTCTTAAAAATTAAAACATGACCAAATGTTATAATATATATATTATCAAGATTAAACAATACAGGAGTTGAGACATCTGTGTTTACTAACCAAACTGCTCGATCACAGTGGATACAAAAAAACAGTTAGATTTTGTAGATAAGAATTTCCTTGACGGAATCAACTTTGATTACGAGCGTGTAATATTACATAATCAAACTCAACTTCGCAATGGTTACACAGATCTTGTGAGGGAAACAAGACAAGCTTTTAGAGAAAAGTTCCCATCTTCTATGGTAAAGTATCTTTTCCTTAGCAAGTTAAAAACTAAACATTATCCTGTTTAAAATGTAAATACCATTTTATATGATCACCAAAATTTATTTCTTTTTCTTGAACACAAGGAGCATCTGTGACTGGGTGGTTTAGGCATTTGACTAAAAACAATTTGCCCCTCAATATGCGCAATGCACAATGCTCGAATGCACAATAATTCTTCGATCTATATCGAAGTTGTAAGAAGTTCTCCCATCAAGCTAGACATGCTGCAAATTTTAACTATTGTGAAGTAAATAGATATTTTACAGCTTCTATTATATTTTTACCATAACAGCATTGCGGCTAATAATATTCAAACGCAAAATCAGAACAGAATAATTGTACATCATTCAATTAAGTTAAACTTCAATTGGAAATGCACATTTCGTTTCGTATAAAATTAAAGACATTATGTATAGTTGTAACAAACTTAATATTCGGTAGTCTAAGAGTTAAAAATCTTTTAGTACGAAAACGTAGTATAAGCTAGACATTTTAACATATCTGCCGGTTCAAAACTTCAATAAAGATCTTTTATGATCAATGATTAATTATATAAAAGGGTTTTTCTACATTAAGACGTGATTCAAAAAAAAATATAATGAACGCATTTATTCATGAATAAACCAGTCTGTTACTTAAACAGAAAGATTAATTGGTCGGCTTTATTGTGACATCGAAAATACCAGAAATTTTTGAAAATAACTGTTATTTTTCAAAATAACTTTGTTATTTTAATAGCCCAATGACATCTTCCACCATCACCTTGACTTTTGTAACATTTGGTATCATTATCGTGGATATTTAGACTGATGCATTGACAATAGCTGTCACCAATATTTAATTACGCAGACATATAACAAATATATAGTAATAGTCTCCTGATGCACCCTCATGCCATGTCGTTATTTAGTATATCCATAAACATAAATAACCTTTTACACAAATTACCAAAACTAGCTTCATTTGCATTGACATCACTGTCGTATGAGGCTAACATAATTTCAATAAAAAGAACATGAACCATTCTTTTGAGGGAAAATAGCTAAATATCCTTTGGTATTGCGAATATGTGCTTGAAGTGATTTCTAGTCTAAATAGACAACATACTGTTGCTTTGGGTGCTCACTAAGATATAGTTGGTGTCAAAAGAAACACCAACATATTATCATATAATTATTTATTATAATTATACATAATTATAAAAGTGAATACTGATCAGCCAGAGATAACTAGACAAGAAATTCCTCTGTAGTTTCTTGGGTCAGAAATTGAAATGCTTTTACTAAAAGAATAATATTTTATGATAGTGATGTTGGAATCATGCAATGCTTCTTCTTTTACTGATATTGCGATCCTTGTTTAACTTGTCTATTTGTCTCTTTTTTAACTTTAAGATTAGTGTTGATGTGGCGTGTTCTCCTGCTGGAATAGATTCACGTTACTACGACTTTGTGGGACTATCAGAAGCTTCTGACTATTTCTTTGTTATGGCATACGACGAACAAAGCCAAATACTAGGTGAATGTATTGCTTATGCCAATAGCGGATTATATAGAACAATGGAAGGTATGAATTTTTTGTGAAAATCTTACGATGACCTTATATTTATAACTAAAAAATGAAACAACTACTACTCAAATGTTGATGATCATTCACGCTAAACTGTTCACATTTTCTCACAAATGGTTATTCCAGTTATTGATGAAAACCTTTGAAAAATGATCTCCCCATAAAATAAATCTACCGCACGTAATAGAAAAGGTCAGGACAGTACACATAATCTATATGCACCGACAAATTTGCAGTAGACTATTTATCAGAATTGTCAAATGGATGAAATTGTACGCTTAGTTAGTTGTTAGTGTTATAGTAAACATTCTTCTGATGAAGTATTATACATGTTTATTATATTTCTAATAAAAGGCGTTAATGAACACCTGGACATTGGAATATCGTCTGACAAGCTTATTCTTGGAGTGCCTTGGTACGGCTACTATTACCCATGCTTGACATTAACCAAGGTATGATTTTTATCATTTGTCATATCATTTTTATTTTGTTTCATTTAATTCTTCGCTAAGTCAATCACAAACAATATACAAACTTTAAATAGAAGCATATAATACACGTCAATGTCTACAGAAGATACTTGTCTGCAGAAGATTCTATGTCTTAGCAAATGTGTTTGTTTATGTTGACCTCAACATTGTTTGATGACGACACTGATAAATTATTTGATTATTGTTTCATCTTAGTTCAAAAAGTAAGCGAAATTTTGAAAGGGCGAGGTCCCTGGAAAGAAATGAATGCATAGTTTTAAATTGCAGTCTCGTTTTTAATGAATCTGTTCATGAGTGCAATATCTATCAAGTCTCCAAGCTCCGTCAAAAGCAAACATAGAAACTTTCTTTCATCGATACAAATTCCTCGAACTACATGTTATAAGCATGAGACATAATATTTCAGGATGACAAATGCTACTTAAAGAAGGTTCCATTTCGTGGTGTTAATTGCAGTGATGCAGCGGGACGTCAATTGAATTACTACACTATAATACAGCTACTAAAAAACTCTACAAGTGGACGTATATTTGAAAAATCTACAATGACACCTTACTTTAATTACAAGGTACACTTCCATAACGTTAAAATATTTTATGCGACCGTTTAAATAACGAAAATGCAATAACATCATTTGTATCTGATATTACTTATTTATTTGACAAATGATAACGACTCCTGTATTTTGCAAATGCGATGCATTTTATATAGATACAATATTGATTCGGGAAACTGTTGATCAAAATCAAATAATATTTATGTTTACATTTTGCTACCTAAAATTCAGCTCAACTTTATCCAAGTGATGTGTATCTAAAATCTTAAACTATATTTTTCAAGTTATAAAACTCATATTTAGCTCTTTTTTGGACATATTTATTCCCTTTTGACGCATAAAGTGCCTTCAATTAGTGTATAATATTCAATACGTTACATTATGTGATGATCAATGATTTCGCTTGCAACTCATTTAGTGTATCTAATTGACTTGCATTTTAGAATATTTCATCAGGCATTATGCATCAGATACGTTATGACGATCCACAAAGTTTAGGATAGATAGATAGATTTATTTCGGCAAAGGAAGCATATACATAGTTGACAATATAACATAGGATAAAATAATGAGCATTATTAAATACTATATCACATACGAGTAAAACTATGACATGCTCACCAAAACCAAGGATAACACAAAAAAGGGCAAAAAAGCTCTTATTTCCATTGTGGTCCTTTGTATTGGCGGCATGACATAGAGAGGCAAACCTTAAAATAATCATGTTTAAGAATACTAATAAATCATAAAAATGTATATCACAGTCAAATCTTGAGTTAATGATACTCCTGTTTACAGCTAGGATTTAAAACACATTACTAAAATTGTAATAAGATAAATGGCAGACAATTTAAAATCCTGAGCCGAAATATGTAAAAACATGTTTAAAAAAAATTTTAAATACTGTTCATTAGATGACTTTTGATGGCAACCTTAAAACTTTGTAACCTGTTGATCTCCGTTAACTTTACAGGTAAATCATTCCATAATTTAATACCAGAGAAAGCAAATGATTTAGAACCCTGGCCTTTGACCTTAGGTAGACAATATCCACCCTTTTGACTAAGTCTTGTACTATAATTATGAATGGAATCTTGTGAAATAAAGTGTTCAGACATGTAATCCGGAGATAGGCCATTTTTTATCTTAAAAACCTGACACAACATTATCTGTTCAACTCTTTTGTGGACCGGTAACCAGTTAAGGGACTTAAAGTGGGATGGGTCAATGTGGGCTCTAGAGTCCAAGTCAAGTACAAATCTCATTATTTTGTTTTGACAAGTTTGTAACTTATTTTTTAAAGACTGTGTCAAGCTATTATACCAAACAGAGCATGCGTAATCATAGTGACACTGAATAAGAGACATAACCAGAAGTTTCTTGGTATGCTGAGTAAGAAACTCTTTCTTGCGGTAAAGAAATTTTAACCGAGAGTTGGCCTTCTTAAGAACAGACTCGGCCATGGCGCAAAATGACAGATTTTGGTCTATAGTAATCCCAAGATACTTGATTGATGAAGTTGATTCAATGGATGTACCAGAAGAGGTTATATGCAGGTTAGATTGTGACCTAAGTTTTTGCCTGGACCCAAATAAAATTGACTCGGTTTTACCCAAATGCAATGACAACTTATTGTCCACTAACCATTGGCTGACCAATTCCATATCATCTGTCAATGCCTTTTCAACAACAGATAAACTTTTACCAGATACAAGGATACCAGAATCATCAGCATACAAAAGCAATTTATTTTTGACCACAGCTGACATATCATTTACATAAATTAAAAAGAGAAGGGGTCCAAGGATTGAGCCCTGAGGAACACCACATGTTATTTTGGAATTGGAAGAATAAGTACCAGAGACATCTACAAGCTGCTGTCTATCTGATAAATATGATTTGAACCAATTTAGGACGTCAATACTAAGACCTGATTCTTGCAGTTTCATTAAAAGAATGGAATATATATATAAATATACGTTTGCAATAGATGAAAACTTGCGAGGTGTAGGGATGTGGAACACAGAGTGTGTGAATTACACAAGCGGAAAACATGATGACATCATTGCTGTAAAAGAAATGTGGGACGCTCTACCAGATTACGAAAAATAACACCTGCAGACAATTATGAAGTGTACTGAAATAATCATCAATGAAATTAAATATACATTTTGACATTGTTATTTACTAAATTTAAAATATTGATAATTTGTTGATAGATGTTCGTATAAATGTTTATCAACTGATCAACTGATATTTATTTTGATGTTTGGTCTATATAAAACCATCGGTAAATGTACGGTTTGAAGCGTTATATGGTTGTCAAATCATGAAATGATAATTGTTATTCAAACTTTGTTACACTACCTCACTTTTAAAAGAAAATACATAGCACTGATATTTGGATTTCAATAAATAGTACATCAATCTACATATGTATGAGTACAAAAAATATAGAAATAAAATGTTTATTTCGGAAGCAAGGGTACTCTTTAATAAAAACTGCTGACATTGTAGATATACCATATTTTAATTGATTGTACGTATCAAACTTCATTAGAGAGAGGGTATTCACTCCTTCAATAGCAAGAATAGAGACAAATAATATCAATCAAAGTACTGAAAGTACTGGGGTATTCATTGTGTTTACAGATCTGACGGAACTGATAGTAAATGAAAACTATTTTAAGCTAATTGCGAGCTGGATCAACCTGGGTAAACCCCCTAAAGGGTTTTGTCTTTTCCCCCAATGTTTTTTTAAAACCTAAATTGGGGGTTTTGTAGGTTAAAAAATTTAACAATAACAAATCTTTTAAAAAAATTAACTTTTTTAAACCCAAAAAAACAAGGGGGAACAAAACTTTATGGGGAAACGGGAAAACAAAAAAAATTTAAAATAAAAACCCACTTTAAAAAAAATTTTAAATTCGATAAAATTTTTAAAAGGGAAAAGGGTTTTTTTAGAAAATTTTTCTTTAAAAGGGCCTTTTGGGTTTTCTTTTCAGGCCTTGTTTTTTATAAAACGGGATTTCTTTTTAAATTATTTGGGACTTATTTAAAAAAAGAAATTTTTTCATTTTTGGGGCCCTTTTTAAAAAGCAGAAAATTTACTTAAAAAAATTTGTGATATACGGGGAAAAAAAAAAAGGGAAAAAAAAATTGGGTTTTCAATACGCATTTTAAAAAAGGGGCAAAAAAATAAATTGGGAATTTTTTTAAAATTAAAAAAAAAAAATTTTAAAATTTTTTTAAAATTTGGAAAAAGGGTATCTTTTTTTTCCCCTGGGGTCAGGGGGTGGAAATTTTTACGGGAAAAATTCCCTTTTTTCCCTGAATTTTTCTTTAAAAGGCTTTTATCACTCTAAAAAAAAAGGGAAAAAATTTTTCGGGTTTTTTTCCAATTATTATTGGGGACTGTTTTGGTTTTAAATGGGGTTTAAAAACAAATTTTTTTAAAACCAAGGGAAAAAACCAACAATAAAAACTCCCAACTGTTAAAATTTCCAAAACAAAACAAATTTTTAAAGGAAAAAAACAAATAGGGAAATTTTAAATTTGCTATTTTTTTAATTTTCATTACTTTAATTTTTTTGGGAAGTTTGAAATATATATAAAAAAATTAAAATTTAAAAAAAAAGGGCTTTTGTTAAAGGGGGTTATTTTTGCTTTTTCCCTTAAAATAATATTTTGGCTTTTTAAACCTTGTTTTATATTTTCTTTAAAAAGGAATTTGTAAAAATAAAAAGGGGCAAAGGGTTTGGAAATAATAACAAATAATTGATTTTGGAAAATTTTGAAAAAAATTTAAATTAAATTTTTTAAAAACATTTGAAAAATTTTTCCAAAATTTTTAAACCCAACCCTGGGCCTTTAAAAAAAAGGAAATTTTTGAGGGAAAAAAAATTTAAAAAATTTAATGTTTTTTTTTAAAATTTTTAAACAGGGGGAAATGGGGGCATAATACCATTTTTAAAATTTGGTTTAAAAACATTTTTACCCCCCAATTTTTCTTGAATTAGGGGTTTTGAAAACCCAAAAAAATTTTCCCCGGGCATAAAAATTAAAAATTTTTCAAAAAATTTAAGGGGGTTCGGGGGCCCCAAAAAAAAAAGGGAAAAATTTTTTCTAACCCCCTTGGGAAAAAAAAAAAAATTTTTAAAAATTCCCCAATTATATACATGTATTTTTAAAAAAAAATATGGGGTTTAAACTTTAATTCTTGAAAAATTTTTTAAAATACCCCTTCCTAAAAGAGTTTTTTTTTTTAAAAAAATAGGGGTTTTTTTTTTTTAAATTAAAAAATTTGGAAAAAAAAATTTTTAAATATATTTTAAACAAAAAAATTTTTAAAAAAAATTTTGAAAAATCGATTAAAAATTTTTTTAAATAAAGGGGTTTAAAAAAAATTTTTTATTCAGGCCTTTGGTTTTTCTTTTCGGGGCCTTTTTTTTTTATAAAAAACTGATTTTTTTTTAATTTATTTAAAATTTATTAAAAAAAAGTATCTGCTTTTTTGGGGCTTTTCCCAAAGGCAAAAAATTAAACTTTAAACTGGGGTGTATAAAAACGGGGAAAAAAAGGAAAAAAAATTGTTTTAAAATACGCTTTTTAAAAACAGCAACAAAAATAAAAATTTTTTTTAAAATTAAAAAAAAAAAATTTTACATTTTAGGGGACCCCTTTATCTTGTTTACCCTGGGTTTTTCGGGATTTGGTTAATTATAAAAGAAAATTTTTGCGGGAAAAATTCATTAAAGGGGGTTTATAAAATTTCTAAAAAAAAAAAGAAATTTATTCTGTTTTTTCCAAAATTATTATAAAAGGAAACGTTTGGGTTTTTGGAAAAAAAAAATTTCTTAAAAAAGGAAAAAAACCCAACAAAAAAAACTCCCACTGTTTTTTATTTAAAAAAAACCCTTAATTTTTTTAAGAAAAAACCCCAAAATTTTAAAATCAAGGCTTTATAATCATTATTTTAAATTTTTGGGTTTGAAAATGAAAATTATTTTTCCCCAAAAATAAAAAAAAAATTTAAATTTAAAATTAACATTTTCCCCCAAAATAAAAACCGGGGTCATGAAAAAAAAAACCAAAAAGGGTGGGTTTGCGCCCAAGCAGGGGGTTTCCCGGGAACCAGTTATTTTTGGGGTTTTTCAGGACCCCCAATGCTTTTTTTCGTTTAAAAAACCCCTTATTACTATTTAGAAACGGGTAGCAAAAACAGTAGGGGTTTCCTAAAATCAAAACTGGGGGGGATCCCCAATTTTTTTGGTTTCGTCAGGGGGACACGGGCTAAAATTTTTTTGGCTTTTGGGATTTTTTTTTTTAAAAAATTTTAAAAAAAAAACCAGATTGCATAAATGATAAATAAAAGATTTTTTGAAAAAAATTTTAAATAAAAACCCAATTGGTTTCTAATTTCCCAAAAAGTTTTTAAGGGGTTTTTTAAAAAAAAAACCTTGACCCCCCGGGTTTTTTTGGCCAAAAAAACGGTTGAAAAAACATTTAAAAAAGAAATTTTTTTTAAAGGGGGAAAAGGGTTGTTTTAAAAATTAATAAATTTTTAACCTTTTTTTCATTTTTATCCCTTTTGACATTAAAAAAAACTTGTTTTCTTTTCGGGTTTATTTTCCCCAAGGTTAGTCCCCTTTGGGAACGGGTTTTCACTTTTTTGGGACTTCATCTCTCTTTTTTTCCCCTTTTCAAAAAAGCACCCCCCCCCCCTGCGGGGCCATTTTTTTAAAACCCAAGGGCTTTTTATTTTGAAAAAAATTTTGGAACATCCAAAAAGGAAAAAATGTTTTCATGGTAAAAAAATTAAAAAAGTTTCTAGTTTTTTTGGGGTTTTTTTAAAAAAGGAAAATTTTTTTTAAGTTTTACTAACATTTTTACTTTTAAAAAAAACAAGGGACAAACCCCGGAGCGGGGCCCCGGGTTGGGGACCCCAGGGTTTTTTAAATTTAAACCCCAAAAATTTTGTGGGAACCTTTTTCCACAAAGATTTTTTTTTTAAAAAATTTATAAAAAAAAAAATTTCTGGGGTTTTTGGGTTTTTTTTTAAAAAAAAAGGTTTTTTGGAAATTTTTTTAACTAAGGGGCAAAAGGGGAAAATCAATGTTTCCCCTGGGGCGGGGGCCCTTTTTTTGGGGAAACCCCGGGGGTTTTTATTTGAAAAAAAAACTTGGTGGAAAACTCATTGGGGAAATTTTTCATCCCAAAAAAATATTTTTAAAAGCTCTAGCTTTTTGGGTTTTCTTTAAAAAGAAGATTTTTAAATTTTTTTACTATTTTTGGCCATTTTAAAAAAAATTTAAGGGGCCCCCCGGGGCAGGCCCAAAATTTTGACCCCCAGGGCTTTTTTTTTAAAAAAAAAACTTTGAAAAAAACTCACAAAGAAAAAATATTTCTTTGGCTAAATTTTTCTTAACTCTACCCTTTTTTTGGGTTTCTTAAAAAAGTTTTTTTTAATTTTTTCCCTTTTTATGCATTTTCAAAAAAAAATTAAGGGGCCCCCCCGGGGGGCGGGGGCC